TTCCCCTTTTTCTATTGATGCTGGATTTAAAAATTAAATATTCTCAAACCACTGCTGCATAATTTATGTCCAGCGGTCAATAAACGAACTCGGCTGCAGCTGAAAGTGGAGCCTTTTGGGTCGTCCGTCTCTGATCTTGGAACAGCGCTGCCCACAGACCTGGACCCAACACGAGTCCATCGACTAAACTCGAGGGGGGGGGGCACAACCCGCCGTGACCCTGAAGCCTCGCTGGCCAACTTGTCAATATCAGACACTGTCCAGGATTTACTGGACTTTTCTGGACGTCTTTCAGAGCCGTTTCCATCAATAAAACGCTCCACAGAGTTTGTTCTCCAACAGGAAGTCAACTATTTATTTATTTATTTCTTTGATTTTTGTGAATGAAATAAAAGAAAAATCGACGTCTTCTTGCCAAAAACTAAAAAAAGATTTAAATCATCCTAACTGGAACGTAAACAAGACAAGACAAGACTGGTTTACAGAACATTTGTATTAACATGTACACACACACAGACACACACACACACACACTCTCTCTCTATATAAAACCAAGCGAGGGCTGTGATTGGCTGAACATGGTTGGTCAGCAGACCTGCGACAGTTCTACGGTCGGACCAGGGTCTGGACCTTGGTGTCCATCTGGTCTGGAGTCAGTGTTTTTATTCTTCTGACCAACGATGATGTCACTCTCAGTATTCTCTCAGTTTCTTGGTCTGGGTTTTCATTTCCTGCTCTCGCCTCCATCCCGTCATTTCTCCTCCCAAACAGCGGTGGCGTCACTAACCAAATATATGCAAATTATAACCTACTTTAAAAATTACCCCATCATTTGTTCCCCCTGATGCCCCCATGATCCTTATCTCACTACCCAATCAAAAGGGCAGCAACACGACCTCAGTATCAGACAATTACCTCTTTGTCTGCGTGTAATCAGACCAGCGCCGCCGCCGCCGCAAGAACCGTCCAAACTACAGCATCGACACGTGCGACTCTCCTCCGCTCTCTTCTCCAGTTTGACTGATTAAACTGAGTGCTGCTCAGGATAATGAGCGCTAACAGGAACGGACGCTCTGATGTTTACCTAGTAATTGACCAGATCTGACGACTCCTCAGACTTTGACTACAGGCCTTGTCTTGTTGGTCTTGTTGGTCTTGTTGGTCTTGTTGGTCTTGTTGGTCTCGGTGTTGCTCCAGGTTTGGCCTCGTTCAGGAACGTTGACTGATCCTGATTAAAACTGCTCCTTTAAGTCGTCCTAACTTCAAATCAGTATTTAGAAGATGTCTGGTTGGTGAAGACTTTTGGACGTCACCGTCATCTGTCAGTCGGTCCGACGTGTAAACCACACAACATCGCCCCCCACAGGCACACACAGGAATTACACTACATCCTATTGTCACGTGTGATACGAGGCTTTGAAACCGAGCAGAAAAAAACCTTCGACGCGCTGTCGATTCAAGAGGCTGAGATGTGGCTAAATGTGGCTAAAGGTAAGGCCCAGAAACATCGGGGGCAGCTCGTGTCCGACCTGCAGCACGTGTCCGACCTGCAGCACGTGTCCGACCTGCAGCTCGTGTCCGACCTGCAGCACGTGTCCGACCTGCAGCACGTGTCCGACCTGCAGCACGTGTCCGACCTGCAGCTCGTGTCCGACCTGCAGCTCCGACACATGTAATCCCATCCAGTTAACATCGGCGTTAACCACTGACTCGCCCTCTGAGCCTCTGCTTTTCACTCTTCTCTCCGTTTGCCGTTCTGTTTGGTGAGCTACACCTCCCATCCACCCTCCTCCCCCACAATCACTACATGGAATCAATGTGAGGTGAAGAAATTCAGGAAAAACAAAAACAAAAAAAGGCCGGAGAGTAAACCAGCAGCCAATGACATCATGGCCCATAAATCTGCTGTTGACCATCTGGGTGATGGAGAGAAAGATGAGAGGGAAGGTGGAGATAGAAATGGAGTAGAGTGGGGGAGGAGGGGGAGGAGGGGGAGGAACATCCTGAGAGAGGAAGTCATAAAAAGGATGAAGAGGGAAGAGAGAGAGAGAGAGAGAGAGGGAGAGAGAGGGAGAGAGAGAGAGAGAGAGAGGGAGAGAGAGAGAGAGATAGCAACAAGTGGGGATGATGGGAGAAGGAGGAGGAAGAGAGAAAAGGAGGAGACAGGAGGTGAAAACCAGGGAGTGGAAACGCTCTCTCGTCCTCCAATCAGGATATGGACGCCTATAAATAACAGGCTCTCACAGTAAACAGCATGATGTCATCACACACACACACACACACACACTCAGGTTTGGATAAACCAGTATCACACAGTGTTTGTAACTGAAAAGTTCCTCTAGATGTTCTTTCAGTTCTGAAGTGAAGTCACATTCTCCCAGAACCGTTAGCTGTCAAGGCTAGTTCAGCTAACCTTTAGCTGCTTCTTCAACATATGTCCATATATGTAGTCGTTTCAGAGACACGTCCAACAACAACCGTCCAACAACAACAACTGCCTTCTGTCTCACCACTGTCTCACCGACCTGCAGCATGCACGACACCATCCCAGGTCCAAGTCCTGGTCCAAGTTCTGGTCCAAGTCCTGGTCCAAGACCTGGTCCAAGTCCTGGTCCAAGTTCTGGTCCAAGTCCTGGTCCAAGTCCAGGTCCAAGTCCTGGTCCAAGACCTGGTCCAAGTCCTGGTCCAAGACCTGGTCCAGGTCCTGGTCCAACTTCTTCCTGCCTTGTACCTTGTCCTGGTACCAGATGCAGTGACCCCTGACCTCCTTCAGTCCAAACTTTATTCTGTTGTTTCTTCTTTCCATCGTTTATTATCTGATCTGCACAGACAACAGTGTGTGTGTGTGTGTGTGTGTGTGTGTGTGTGTGTGTGCTCCCTAGTTTATGTAAAATCTCCAGCACCAATCATTAGAAAATGCCCCCCCGATCAGGAGTTGCCCCGACTGCTGTCTGTGTTCCAGCCTTGTTTGTTATGTTGACGTCGTCGTGGAGACGTCAGTGCAGGATCAGGGCCGTGAACCAGTCAACGCTGAACTGACTGGGTCACACAAAGACAGGTATAACACCCCCCCCCCCCAACACAAAAAACGGCCAACCTCCGGGGGGGGG